TTGGCCTTCATCGTCATGAGGTAGCGCACGGTTGCTTAATCAAGAACACCGCCGTTAAGGTTGCTTCAGCCTAAAACCATAGAGGTAACTCTATGACTAGAAGGTCCCGAAATAACGTGCTCAACTTTTTGGCTCAGCTCTGGTACTCTCTTCGGTCCCAAGCTAATCGATTCACCCCTCGAAACATAGGAAAAACCAATAACCCCTCATTTTATCTGTCAAACTTTCATAGCGAATCAAAACAAACATTGCGTAGTACTAGAATTTTGACTAGAATGGGGTACGTTAATCGTTTGCTTGGGACCAATAGGCTAGTCAAGTAGTGAGCCAATTTAAAATCGTTAGTTTCGTATTGATTGTTGCTCAAACCGCTTGTTCAATCCAGCATCGAAGAGCAAACATTTGGCGCGTTCTTCGATCGTCCGGTTCATCCTTTCCGCAAGTCCGTTTTGTTGCGGATTGTAGGCAACCGAGTAAGGGAGAACAGCCCATAATGCACCCCTGGGGTAAAATGCCCACTTATAGAAAAACAGCGATAACTTTTCCTCAGATGCATTTTCCGGGTAACGGTTTGTGATTGTTTTCAACTGGAGGTTTAACAAATAATTCTTGATCATAAAATCATGTATTGACCTACTGATTCCTTAAAAAAATTGCATTTTGTGCAAAACAGGACACAGTTGTTAAAATCATCGACTGTAAATTAAGCTTTTATCATCATGTATCACAAAAAAAAAATTAAAAAATTTACGTTTCGTATATTTTTTAGATATTTTGCTTGATGAATCACAGTTTAACATTCTATTGAGATTTTGAGACCTTATTTTTGATGTAACATAAAGAAATAATCATTTGAAATACCGCATCCCTTTGCATTATCTACTTGCAGGGGTTATGGTTTGTTTACCATGGGGTGCATTTTACCCCAATGTTGTGGTGCGTTTTGGCCATTGTTGTCGTGCGTCTTGTCCCAATGTTGTGGTGCATATTGCATCATGAATCAGGCGTTTTGCCCCGCTATCATTTTGGAAGCAATTTAAAAAATACCTTGAAAGCCATGGAAAATCATCCTTTTGTAGTTTTTTTTTTTTTTTTATTATTATTATAGTCACTTTAACACTCTTGGGTCATTCGTGACTTGTCCGGGGGTGAGATTTGAACTCGTGACTTTGGCGTGAGAGATATGGATGTTAACCACTACGCCGGGGTCGCCCCCTCCTTTTGTAGTTCTAAATCACTCGATCTTTGTAGAAAACATGGTAATGAACCAAACGCCATTACTTTCTTCTTGATTTTAGCTTCCATTCGCCAGCCATTGACGATTTTGCTTAAAGGGTGCGTTTTGCACCATCCTACCCTATATTCCGTTGTCGGTTCGCAAACGCTTGATAGATTTACCTGTCTGCTTCTCGACATACGCTTTGAATTCTTCGAACGCATCAAATGCCTCAGCTTTGGATTTCAGGAAGTAAGTGTGTGTCATCCAAACGCTTCACACTGTCCAGATTCAGGTGGCCGAACCGTCTATGCCACAGCTCCAGATTCTCCCCGGGTTTTGCCACGAATGCCCTGGCTGGCTTGAACTCCTGAATCCAAAATCCAGTTTTCCGTCTTCAGCTTCGATTTCATGCACGCCATCAAAGCCGTTTGCTTTCCATGGAATCCTTTCTCGGGCTTCGAATTCAGCTTCCCCTGGCACTCGGACGCGTAGTGCCCAAGCTTGTCGCATTTGAAACATTTGACACCGGACTTATCCTTCTTTTTCTGGAACTTCATTTCACGAGTGGCTAGCGCTCCGGCAGCACCGCTTGACTTGACATTGGTATCCATGGCGACGCCTTGAAGAATTTTCGATTTCACCATATCCACCGTGAGCTTGATACCTGAGGCATCCAGTCCCATGATCATGGGCTCGTAGTTCTTTGGGAGGCTCATGAGCAGGATCAGCAACAACCATTCATCATCCAACACGAAACCAATTTCTCCCAGCTTGTGGCTCGTGGACATGATTTCATCGACGTACTCCTCGACGGACGAACAATCTTCCAGCTCCTGCCTGGTCAACTTCCTCAGCAAGCTTATCTTCCGGTATCGTCCGCAGCCTTGAAACGTCGTTTTCAGACTGTTTCAGGTCTTCTGCCCCTTGGAATCCTCTCATCGCTCACCACTGGCGCATTCTGACTTGAAGTGCCACCAGTTTGGCTGCAGTCTGGTTTCCAGAAGGGTCCAAGTTATCCCCGGAACACCGAGTTCTTCGCATGGCTTCGCTTCTTTGGTGACTTTCGGCCGGTAACAACGGCCGTAACTATGGAAACTTTCCTGATAGAAACGTCTACTCAAGTTAGAGTGCAAGTAGCGAAATGAAGTTTTATTGAACAATTATACCAACGCTTACTATGTTCTAACAGAGGTGAAATAAACGGAATCACTCGATGTATCACATACCTACAACCAACCATGTACCGTATGCGTGATAATGTTTGCACCATCGTACAAATAAGGTTCCCGTTTCACCTGTGCATACAATGCTTTGGTTTGCTTTGCATGCACGTAACCTATAGCTCATACCGTAGTAGGCTGTGTATCGAAAAAAATGATTTACTTAGTTTGACAGTTGCACGACGACGAAGTGGCAGCGTGTTCGTGATTTGTCCCACGCGCAAATGTCGCAAAAAGACATTTCAATCGCCGTGGGAGTGTCCCAGTGGACCGTCAAAAGGGTTTTAGACCGGGAAAAGAAAGGACAACTATCCGCGATGGTGGCCACAGGTCGTCCGAGGTCAGCTCGGGTTCCGAGGGTCGCTGCTATCAAAAGGAAGATTCAGATGAATCCATTGCGTTCAATAAGGAAAATGGCAAAGGAACACGGGATCAGTGACTTTACGGCACGGAAGATCGTTAACGAAGATCGCGAGTCAAAGTCGAGGGCACGGAAAAAACTCACATGATTACCAACCGCATCCGGGAGCTACGAGTCGAACGATGCGAGAAAATCTTGAACTTCCTTAAGCGAAAAAATCCGGTAATCCTGTTCACCGACGAGAGCATGTTTACCGTCGATTCCGTATCAAATTCCAGAACTGACCGGTATATTAGTTCTCTACCGGTAAAAGACGTGGCCGACGAGCACAAGAACGTGTATCTGACCAAGCATCCTGCTAGCGTTATGGTGTTTGGATTGGTGGCTTGCGATGGCAAAAAAAATGGACCCGGTGTTCATTCCAGAAGGCGACAAGGTCAACACGGAGGACTACATCGGGATTTTAAGTAAGTATGTTCATCCGTGGATCAAAGAACAGTACGGTCCGAAGCCAAATGTTGTATTTCAACAAGATGGGGCTCCGTGCCACACTTCGAACCGCACTCAGAAGTGGGCGAAGGATATGTGGCAGCCACACAGCCCCGATCTTAATCCGCTGGATTACTCAATATGGCGCGTCGTGAAGGCCAAGGCCTGTTCTGAACGCCACCCGAGTACAGCAAGCCTCAGACAAACATTGACCCGTACCTGGAGAGAAATGGATCCAGATCCACCGTGCATTCCGGGAGCGTGTGGAAGCCGTAATTGCAGCAAGTGGAATCTCGATCGAAGATTAACATAGTTAAAGACTCTGAGAAACATCCCCTTTGAATAGATTTAAAAATAGGAAAACGAAATTTTTGATAATTTTTTTAATTTTGACATTGCTCAATGGTGCAAACATTATCACGCATACGGTAGACACGTTACTTTTATCGGACAACGACAAACCATTAAGGTAATGGAATTAAATGGAAATATCTAACAGTTCTCTCTTTTAACAGGTTTTCCATTATAGACACCAACATTCATCAGGTTGGAAATTGTTGCTGAAAATTGCATTCAGGTAAAGTATTGAATTTTATCCAGTGCTAGTAATTTAACTGTTAACATGTGAATATAAAGAACGGTAATTTCTTATGTCTGATTATTTCCCTTTTGAAAATCTGACAGTACAGTGTGCATGCATTTAAAAGGTTTGATACTTGAAGTTTAAATGGGTCGCTGGATCTAGAATAAAGCAATTGCTTTCCATCTCCACTGTTCCCAACAAAGATATCTTATTTAACAAATAATTCTCAGTTGAAGATGCTAATTTCAAATAACATACTGTAGTGGTAATTTTTATACGATAGATGGAGTAGATGAAAGTATAGAGTTGATAGTTCCGTTAAACGCTGTACAGACTGGAGAGTTATAACATGTTATAACGGTTGTCAAATAATTGCAACACAGAGACCACCATCAAGATAACAATATAACATGTTATAACTCTGTAGTCTGAACGTACTATTAGAGTACGGCAGTGATGTTCTTGATGTACATATTCTGAAATTTGAATTTGAAATCGCAATCACTCAAAAGAAGGTATTCCTTCCGCTCGTTCAGTTTCGTTCAATTGCACTAGTTGCCTTCCACAGCCGGGCGCATTTCAGTCGCCTATGCCAGCGGTTCGCAGCCTGGAGACTCGTGCTGTTGGTTTAAATTGCCTCAGCGAATAAATTGAAGCTAGATAATGTAGGTTTTTAATTTTTCATCATAATATACCGCAAAGTGTATAAAGAAAGAAAGATTAGTAACTTTTTGTAATAAGATCAAATCGATTTGCAGTCTTCAACAAAGTTGTTTTGTATAGTATTCTCCATCTACGTTCGAGTTTTGGTGCAATTTGAGCAATATTTGGATTTCGGTAAGCAAATGAATAGGATCGTTCCGTTTCCCGCAAATCGAGTTTATGACCAAATTCGTTCAATTTTTGCCCAGTTGTTGGGGACTTCACTACGCATTGAAAGAGCAGTTGACCCACCCCATTGTCCATCGTACATAATTACCAAAGTATAGTAATCAACATACACAGGGTACGTGTCTCAGTGCCGGTTGGCAACCGCTGGCCTATGCCATGACCGACGATGACAGGCCTATCTGCCAGTATGCTGGCGTATCGATTCTCGTTCCGTTCGTTCAGTTCAGTTCAGTCGTCGTTCAGTTGTCGTTCGTCGCAGGCGCAGCAGAGAGGAACGCACACAGTCCGTGGCCGTCTGTGCGTGCGTGTGTGTCTGTCTGTCTCTCAACAAAAATGGTCTAAGGACGGGAGGACGGTAATTTTCTTCTGACTTGCGTAGCCGTAGGAAAATGGGAAATTCGACCGGATTGCACGCACCGGGCGGAGGCTAGCTCTGTCCGAAACGGTGCCCCATATTCTGGGTCCCGGCGGGTCGTTGTCGGTGTTCGCGTTCCGGTGGTTGTTCAGTGAAAAATCCTGCTTTTTCTGATTTTATTTCCGTGGTTTTGTCACACTCTGCTGACAGTTGTCGTGTGGTGCGGTGCGGTGGTTGACTCCTGCTGCTGGGGGTGCTGAGTCCTGGCAGCTGGGTGGAAAATTCGATCCGGGAGTTGGCGAAAAAACTGCTAGTTTTCTCGTTTGCGTTTGATTTACGATAGATGATTTAGAGGTGATTTATTTTGTTTGCTTGTGTGAATGAGTGGCGAAAGGAGCAATTTTCCTTGAAAAACGGGTGCTTATAATGATGGATGGTCCAGGCAGGCCGTGGGGGATGGGAGGCATTTTCTTCTGCTGCTGGGAGGGGATTATTCGATCGACCTGCTGTCATTCTCCCTCTCTCAATTTGCTTCTCCGATGTTGGTCGAAGAAGGAACAGTAGGCCGGGAAAACTGTGCTGAACGGGATCTGTGTTGGTGTGTGTGCGCGAGTGTTAGCAACAACGTACCAGGAGACTCCTTCGATGAGCGCTGCTGCAGCAGGATCAATGTGATAGCCTTGTGCAAATAAGGAAGGATAGAACAGCCAGCGAGTGCGAATCGATACATTTTTCCTCCGAGTGTTCGAATGCCGAATCGGAACTGAGTGAGTGTGAAAAGAAATATGGAACGCCGCCTACTGCATCTCGGAGTTGATGAGCTGCAGGAGAGCAAGGAAAAAATCGAAGCAAAGTAGCCACAGCAGTGAGTAATTAAGCGGAACGGTGTGTGAAGTTCGGTGGGTGGATGGACCGTGATGAGCAGGAGTGGGAGGAGAAGGTACGAAGAAAAAAGTGTCACAAAATGTGAGTGGCAGATAAAGGAAGAAAAGTACAAAGAGAAAGAGAGCGAGAACGAGAGAAAGAGACGGGGAAAGAGAGTGCGAGAAAGAAGAGAGGTGTTGGACAATGTGTGACGTAAATATAAGTGTTGTGTTTTTTTTTCTTGATTCGAGCGATTGTGGGATGACAGAGGATCCCGAGGAAGGCAGAAAATCGACCGAATCAGCGAACTTATTTATTTGCTACTGCGGCAGAGGCGGCGGCGGCGACGGCGGCAGCGATGGTGCACAGTAAAAACGGAGAAGAGTTATTGTTGTTGAGTATTATTTTGACAGGTTAAAAATAACATTCTAAACTTGTGCGGCAACTTTACATGTGTTATCATCGAGAGTTTGGGGGCTGTCTCTCGGCAATGCGAAACCCCGTTGGGTGTGAATTTGTTGAGTCTCGCAATTTCTTGGGCAGTTGGTTTTTTTAAGTTTTCTTTCTTATTTTTTTTCTCAGAAATACTACCTGTGAAGTAATGAAAAACCTGCAATTCTGAGAAAAGAATAGGAGCTTATTGATCCGTTAATTGGTATTGATATAAAATGTTAGCACACCTCCTTTGATTCTGAGAATGTTGGTGCTTTTTGACTACACAAATATCTACTGAAAAGTATGGGGAAAAAATGTCGTGACATATTTCTCTCTAACATTTTCTTGACATTTACCGCTTAATCGATTTACACTTTTAGGAATAGTAGGGGAAGTGGATGTAATGTCGGCCTAAATGCCCCTAATTTGGGCTCATACATAAATTCAGCAATCGACTAAATTTTCAATAGTGACCAAAAATATGTAGGGGAAGTGGGTCTAATGTTGGCCTATGGATCTAAGAATGGGCCCATCGCTAAAAATCTGCTATTTATCAATTATATCTAGATGAACGCGTCATTGGGACGGTACTAATGGATATTTTGGTCGCTATTGAAAATTTAGTCGTTTGCTGAATTTATGTATGGGCCCAAATTAGGGGCATTTAGGCTGACATTACATCGCTTTCCCCTATTAGTACCGTCCCAATGACGTGTTCATCTAGATAAAATTGATAAATAGCAGATTTTTAGCGATAGACCCATGCTTAGATCCATCGGCCAACATTAGAGCCATTTGCCCTATGACTGCAAATGCAAGCTTGGATCATTTTCGGTTGACCATAACCTGAAATTGATTATTGTTGCCTTGGTAAAACCAAAAAGAAAAAAAACTATGAAGTGAATCGATCTTAGAAATTAAGCCCTTTTCACGTGCTAATCGAGAATGATACAGTGCAGTAGGCTGCTGTTGGAGATTTTTTAGATTTGTCCTTGAAGTTCTCGTAAAATCATTGTAATGACTTGCCATTGCTAGAGCTGTCTGCCGAATCCAAAATTCCATAAATTTTGGTAAATTGGAACTATTTTAAAATTTAAATATGTGCGATTACATTAGTAACAATCACCATCTCAGCGCCCCTTGATGGGACTTTGTATAGGAGCGAGCTGTCAATTTGTTGGTTAGTGCCAAACAGTGAAGTTATGATTTTGATGTATACAAACCAATATTTTTTTTTCATAATGAAAGAATCAAATTTTACCTCTTATCGTTGAAATTCATTTGCCACAGTGTTTAAAGTTTTCTTGATTTTCCAACATAGTCTTGCTGGTGCTGAACTTGCCATGCAATGGTCCGGCTTTATCCAAGAAGTTGTCTTGATTTGACTTGCCTGCACGATGCACTGGACGGATTTCAAAGATTCTTTGTTCCTTTTTACGTATCCTTAGCAGCACATCTGCACTTGACCTTGAAATCTTTCGCCCTTGAGCCTTGTTAACGAAGACCTATGGATTTGTGAAATGTATAACTAATCACACCTAAAATTGTCCAGAAACTATGTACGTAGTCTCAACTCCCTTAATTAATTTAAACCTTCACGGTCCACTATTCCAAATCAGGAAGCTACCATTCTGAGTGAGTGACGTCAGCGTAGAATGCTTATGATTCTTTGTTTACAATCCTCAACTGCCACTTGACACTTTCCAATCCACGACTACACATTTCTCTCTCTCTCTTTCGCGATTCTTAATTCCTTCCGAAACCTGACATGTCAACCTCCTTTGTCCACCACCCCCCTTCCCGAGAAAAGCATTAGTCATAGGCATGTTTCCTCCCCATGGCATGCAAAACCGTGCTGCAGGATCGCAACATGTAGGTGCCTTCCTCCATGAATCATCTCCGAACAAGCTCGGAAGGGTGTTCTCTCTCGTTAGTTTTCCACTCTCTCTCTCTCTCTCTCGCTCTCGCTCTCGTTTTTCCTCAACATGAACATACAACATACAACATGCACACATATTTTCTTTTGTGCTGTTGCAAATTTCCACGGCCGCCCCTGTGTTGCTATTTGTAGCAACTTGGGCATGGGCACACTTGTCCAACATGAACGTGTATCCTGGTGGAAGAAAAAGAAAGGAATCAGCCTGCCGTATCCTGAGGTCTTTTGTCGTGAATGAAAGCGCGTTTTCCGTGTATGATTGTGTGAGTGCGTAGTTTTTTTTCTTCGAATAACGACAGTCGGTCCCTGAGTGTCCTGATGCGATGTGCTGAAGCAGGGTGTGTTTGCCTTGTGTGGATGACGTTAGCAATTCCCAGTGTTGATGGGATCGGAGTGCGACAAAGCAAGCTGTGCTGATTGCAGTGATGAGTGATCAGTTTCCCAACCAAAGCCCACTTTGATGCTGGAGCAGACGAATGTGAATCGAAGCCTGCCGCTGCTCGCTTTAGTCCGGCGGTGTCGAAGAGAGTGTCACAGTAAGTGAGACATGCTCCAGGAATATTGATTTTGACCGTGGTGTACACCTTTTGTGTATCGTTCAGGACAAGTGCAATGTGAAGATTTGCCGAGTGAAAAGTTTTCACGTGCCGAAAAAAGTGTATCGATTTTGAAGCAATGGCAAACGTCAGCCGTATCGGGCACTGGTGGTGAATCAAACAAAGAAGAACCCGGACCACCACCCCTGGAACAGAAAAAAAAAGAACAGATTTTTCGCTGCGGATGGCAATTAGAATCGACGAATAATGGCAGCAGGAAAAACTCAAATGGCCAAGGGAAAACACGCAATGCATGGCACTCAGTCGTGGTGGCGACAAGGAGAACCGAAGCACGTTGAAGTTAGTATCGAAGACACTGCAATGCCTCATTCGGTCGTCCGTCGTCCGTCGTAGGGAGAAGCCACCAAAAATTATCTAATCCATCCCATTTGTTGATCTAATCATCCGTCAGAGCCGATGGGGTGTCACCTCAGCTGGCCTCTCTAACCCTACACAATCAGGAAAATTAGTTGTTTTTTTGTGTGTCCCCACATCCTATTGATTTATCATTTTCCTTGTCCTTTGCCTACTATGCGGTCACATCGCGGAGACAGATACATATGATGCCATGCCATGCAGCAGTTGGCCGGACGCCGCACTCTATGATGGGTGGCTGGTGTCGTCGTAGTAGCCATGGCCGCGTAGGGTGCGGCACTGTTTCGGCATACGTGTTTTACAGCATTCGTAATTTAACTCGCGAAAGAATTTGTGTATGACGGGAATGGGTCCCATCTGCCGAAGAAGTGCTCCACCCTGCTGTTATGGTTGAATTGGCGTGACACTTTGTGCTTTGCTTGGTTGGGTGTTTTTTGTGGAGTGTGCGGTCTATAGCGCTGTTTTTGCTCGCGTGGAGCTCATTGTGGTGCCGAAGACGGTCGAAGAGGGAAGTGGAAGAAGAACCGGATTGGATTACCATCGATGAGCTGCTTTCTGTTGGTATATTGGTACTTTGTTCGACCAGCGAATGGTGGAGGCAAAGGGTTTCTCTAATTTCAGCAAAGCTTAAGCGGGAGGGGAAATGGGACACTACTTAATTAGATCAAGGTTAACCAAAGTTGCCCCATGGGGATACCGATAGGAGTCTAATGATTTCGAAATGAGAGCTACGAAAGCAAATTTTGATGGAATTTTAATGATTATTTAGTAATCTCTTTCTCTAGAAATTTACCCAAACATTTTTCTTTTTTAATTGCATTTCTCAGTATTTCATAGGGAGTGATATTTTACAGGTATTTAAATCTCCGATCATTTAGAGAAATACTATACGAATACGAATGGATTCACGTTTTGTGTGTGTGTGCTAAAGGTGTAATAACAATGAAAAAAAAATGAATTTTATTCAAGTTCTTGAAAACACGGGGCTGCCATACAGTATCCCCTCAATAATCCGACTCTCGAAAAGTCAAAGAAGCCGGATTAAACAACATTGATACACTTTTTTGGGTCGTATCCAAGATGAATGCGACTGACGAAATTCTTGTTGTTGGTGATTTCAATCCTGAGTCAAAATTCCTGAAGTGGAC